AGAGAAAAGGCTGAAATTGTCAAAGACTTCATTTTGCTTGGATCAATCATCAACACTCATGGAAGCAGCAGTCAAGAAATCAAAAGACGTATTGCATTAGGCAAATCTGTTGCATAAGACCTCTTTAAAGTGTTCAAGAGCAAAGATGTCAGTTTGAGGACTAAGGTGTGCCCGACACATGGCATTTTAAACCACCTCATATGCATGTGAAAGTTGGACAATAAATAAAGAAGACCTTAGAAGAATTGATACATTTGAATTATGGTGTTAGTGGAGAATATGAAAAGTACCATGGACTGCCAAAAGAACAAACAAATCTGTGCTGGAAGAAGTACAACTAGAATGCTCCTTAGAAGCGTAGATGGCCAGACTTTATCTCTCATACTTCTGAAGTATTATCAGGAGGCACCAGCCCCTGAAGAGGGACATGATGCTTGGTAAGGTTGGAGGGTCAGCAAAAAAGAAGGAGACCTGCAATGAGATCAATTGGCACAGTGACAGCCGCAATGAGCTCAAGTGTAACAATGATTGTGAGGTTGGCACAGTATTGTGTCATTCTGTTGGTCACTATAAATTGATACTGACTTGACAGCACCTGACAACAAAAACAATGCTAAGTGCTTACACGGATTATCTTGCTCAATTTGTACAGTATCTCTGTCACTGTAGATGAGAAAAGACTGAGAGAGTTTAATCACTAGCTCCAAAACATACAATTAGGAGTTGCCAGAGTTACAAAATCCAGAAAATCGACTGTTCCAGTAAGCCTGTGTGTCTGAAGGCCAGAAGAAAGAAAAATACTTGGCTTACAGTTAAGGAAACTAAGTCCCAGTAAAGTGAAATCATTTTCTTGAGATGGTTTAGTGAGTTTATGCAATACTCAGATTAGAACCTGTGTGGTTCCCTGGACTCTCAGCCAGGATTCTTCCCACTTCTCTTACTGTCTAGGATTCAATAAGCCAGCCGCATGTAGTGACTACCTGACACTTGCTGTGCTTGTCTGTCTATCTGTTAAAAACCTGATGTCATTCATTCATGCCACCATGCATTTCTCCCAAGAAAGGCCAAATGAACTTTGGTAACGTATTATACCAGTGTGCTTCTTAAAGGAGAAGTATGCTTTCATCTACTAGATAGAAAGAATTATAGAACCTGCCACATTTCCCTTATTGCGCTGACTGGCTGGATACATTGGGCTTAGGCACTCTCATTATGTCATTCTGGTGCTTAGCATGTTGGCTTCACCAACATAATTTCTTTTTCATCACTTGAATGTCTAGCACCTGTTCGTTGTAAAGCATTTGAAGTGCCTTTGGAAAGTAGCTGTTCATAAACAAACATTCAGAGTCTGGGTTCCAGAAGCCTCATGCTTGTCACATACTTACCAAAATCCAACCAAACCAAAATAGCACTGGTGGCTACCTGCCAGCCAGAAGGAGAACCAGGCCACATTAGCATGTGCAGTGCCTGGTACCAGCCAAAATTTCTTCCTCTCACCCACAGCAGGGATTGATTTCAAATCAGAGATGGATTTGAATCTCAGCTTGGTCACTTATTAGCTGGGAATGCTTGGGTGACTTAACTCTCTAAACCTCAAGCTACTTACCAGAAAAGTGTGGAAATTAAAGAACTAAGACTGAACTCATAATGCTATTCTTGTTGTTGTTGTTGTGAAGTGCCGTCGAGTCGGTTCCGACCCATAGCGACCCTGTACAGGGTTTCCGAGGGTGTAAATCTTTACGGGAGTAGAAAGCCTCATCTTTCTCCCGCGGAGCAGCTGGTAGTTTCGAACCGCTGACCTTAAGGTTCGCAGTCCGATTTTTATTCTAGGGATTACTAAATAAGACATTATACCTAGTGTGGAGGACACTCAACAAACATTGGATATTATTATTATTAATTCCATCTATTTACTTTATTAATAAATGCTTATCTGGGTAGCGCTTACTGTGTGCCAGGTTTGGGCTAGTCGGCCCTTGTGTTCCAGGCCTTGATCTAGTAAGAACTTTTGTTTACAATCAACAGAACTCACCTCCTTTAACCTCTAAGCCTAGAAAACAAGTTGGGTGAAAGCAAGATACAATTCTTGGTCAAACTTAAGATGGGTGGTAGATGTCTAGAGCCCAGAACATGAGCTGAGAGGGAAAGAACTAGTCATGGAGGACGGAGAAGCCTTGCACTCCCACTGGCAGGAGAGTCGTCCCCTTTCTGATACCTGCTGGGTCCAGGATGAATTGTCAGCCTGGTTCTGCTGAGCCAAGTCTTCCTTCATTGCTTGGGTTGAGGAAGGAGCTTTAACCCGGAAACAGAACCCTCGGGTTGCCCTTATTTTTTTTCTTCTTCCCTCCTTGGTCTGCCCAGGGAGTATTCAGGAGTATCAAAGTTTGGCTCCTGATGTAAAGAATCAGCTGCTTTGGCATAGTTATTTTATGGCTTCAAACTCATCCAGGGTGATCCATAAGGCTCACTGGAGACCAAATAATTAGGCACTGCTGAAGTCTGTTGTTATTCTTAATTGCAGTGGAGTTGATTATGGCTCATGGTGACCAATTGTGTGCAGAGGAGGGTTGTCAAGGCTGTGACCTTTCACTTGGTCTGTCTCCCCAGGTGCCTCTGGATGGATTTGAACCTCCAACTATCTGTGTTACCCAGTGACATCTTGCTGGAACACTACTCTGCCTCAAATAACATGGATCTCAAGACAAAAGACAGCTGATAAATAATGCAGATATCAAGGATGCAGTAACACCTCTCTTAAAAGTGTTTCTGAACACAGTTAAAATGTTTAAGACGTTTGATATATTCCAGAAAAGCTCATAAGAAGGTTAATGTGTATACACACATTAGCAAAACAGCAGAGGAAAAAGAAGAAAATCAATTCAACACGTAGTTGGATGGTAATTTAACTGAAAGCAAGTCCCCTGACAACATCCTGAAGAGAGGGGGCAGCTTGGTCTCTGTGCTCAGTTCTGCCAAGTGGAAGCTACTAACTGGATCCCAGCTCTGTCAAGGGTCAATGCTTTTAGAAAAACAGATGCAAGTATTTGTCAAAATGTGCCAACATTTTCGTCTCTTGTTTCTTACTTAAGAAAGGTCATTTTGCAGCCCATAAGCATGCACTCAATAAGAACTTTACAGTCAAGTATGTAATTGCAATCCTCTGAAAAATCATTAAGATTCTGACAATCAGTAATTGGACAAGATGAGTGCTATTAACGCCTTCAGAAGCAGTCAGCACATTTTTTGTAAACAGACTTAATGGACCAGGCACAATACCCCAGGCAGCCATATTTTGAAAACAATTGAGAGTAATTTAGAACAATTTAGGTTGGCAGTAGACTAATAGGCCAGGCCAGCTACATGCTATGATCATACCATCCCCAGAAGAGCAAGGGTCTGGCTTCTTGCTGACATGTGCACATGTGTTCACGTGCGTATCAGTAACATACCTGCATTTATTTGTAGGCGTGTAGTCTCTGCACTGTGCATTTCCTCTTCCTTCCTTTTCTTGTTTGTTTTTGGCCCTGTCTCTACTATTTGATGGTGATGGTTGTGGGTATGTGTCAGTGGAGTTGGTTCTGACTCACAGCGACCCTACACAGGGTTCCTGAAGCAGCAAATCTTTACAGGAGCAGAAACCCCATATTTATCCTGGTTAGTTTTGAACTGCTGACCTCGAGGTTAGCAGCCTGACTCGTAACCACTATGCTACCAGAGCTCTAGAAATTACTTACAAATAGGGATCACACTTAAATGTCTTAAAAATACTTCCCTCCAGGTGCCCAAAAGTGCATCCTGCAGAGAAAATCAGAAGCTGAACAAACTGATCTATGCCACTGAATTAGTGGAATTGCTTTGGAAATAAATTTGCTGATGCTGCTTGTACTCAGAGAAGGTACCTTCACTCACACAATGTGCAGAATTCTTCTTCAGATAATACTTTCAGACAACACTAGGCTGTATGTGAGAAGCAACCCATTTATGTATCATCAATGTCACTTTTTAAACAAAAATGCTTTAGCTAAATTGGTCATGTCACTCTAGATTTCACAGAAAATGGAAAGCAAGTATTTCCATTTTCTCTGAAGGTGGGTCCCAAGAGGACCTCCTAGTCAGTGGTAGTGTTGTTAGAGAAATATGTGGGTTCCCAAAGAAACTCATCTCAGAATCCTTCCAAAAGTTCTGGCTTGTTAGTTTAAAAATGCATTTATTTTCCAGTTATTCTCCAGGATGTTGGCTAAAATAATCACATTTCCGCCCAATTGAGGCTGTTAAAAATTACAAGCATTTGGGGAAAAGAAGAGTCCTACTTTTACCCCATCACTCTGGGGACATGACAAGACCTGATAATACCAGTTTCCATGGTGACCTCAACAAAATTAAATGTTTATAGTAATGCACTGGTTTCTAATTATACTCTGAGAATTAGATTCGATTAATTGTGGGGAAATGAAACACTCTATTTAAATTTGTGTGGCTAATAACAGCCAATTCCTAAAGCTTGGTCAGGCCTGCAATGGGCACATTTTGAGTAGATGGATGATTTGAGGGGGCTTCTGTAAGTGTCAGGATACTGTCTATCCGATGATATTAGTCTAACACGCTTTGGTTATAGGTAACTGCAGTGATGTGCTGGTAAATGTTTCACAAACCAGCTCTTGGAGTTGGATAGGAGCCCTCAATGATTTGCTACCAATGGTTTAATACATCATGTTAAGCAAGCTTCATGAATATATCTCACATGAGCCTGCATGAGTGGGCTCTAGTACATCCCTGAAAGTAGTTGTCCACTGGACATGTGAGAAAAAAGATCCTATAGGAAAGGTAAGTGAGATGGGATGCTGACTGGATGGCGGTGGACGCAGGGAACAGGCCAGAGGTGATGGTTGCTGGCTAGTGTGCAATTGTACCTAAGGTCACCTTGGACTGGCTATGGAAAGGAATGAGTGGGACTGAAGAAGTGTAAATGATGCCACTTTCCCTTTTAATACCCAACACACCTCACTCCAATTGCCCACGGTCCAGTCTGAGGGACACAGGAGATCTCTGTTACAGGAAAGGAGGGCCTTGGGCTTCAGCAGGTGCTGACAGTCTTGAGCTGGGAGAGCTTGCTCATCAGAACCCATGGTCTGGATGCACAGCACCATTCGCTTCTTCTCTCCGTGGGGCCCGCAGGTCGCTGAACAGGCTTCCCACTCCCCTGCCCACCACCTGCAGACAGACATGGACATGTAAAGGAAGAGCACCAAAAGCCCACACCATTCCATTCAACTTCTGAAAGATGCCCAAGATTACAGAGCTGGGCTGTTCTTGGAGACGCCCCAGCCCACAGGAGGGCGCTCTATGGGGGAGGTTCCACTCAATCATACCAGAGCCAAGCAAGGCACATGGCACACATAGTTGCTAAATAAAAATGGATAATCATAATAATAAAATATCTTCTCTTTCTACAGTCAAGAAAACTGAGATCCAGGTTTTGCTGTGCAACAGCCTCATGTTCTTCTTTTGTTAAATAATTATAACAATATTGACTTTATATGAGTATTGTGGATTAAATGGACTATCAATACATGCACTATGTGTAGTACAGAGCCGGACACATCTAAACACTCAATCATATGTTATTATTTATTGCTATTTTGACTGTTGCTATTGAGTAAAAGAATCTAAATAGAATCTGGACTTCCTGATTCCTAATCAGATGCTTTTCCAGTTCAGTATAAAGCAGGTAATAATCATTTATTAATTTTCAATTATTTATGTAAGGATCAATCAGGGGATTTGCTTCCTTTTTATTTATTTTTTCTATATTCAGCAGTCTAACGGTTCATGTTTTCACTAATGTCTTTTATAGGACAGGGACAGAAAAAAGAAAGAAAGAAAGAAAAAAAAGAATCTTAATTCAGATCATTTCTTTCTTGTCAGACTTTCCTGATACATGAAATGTTTAAACTGTTGACTAAAATCAACATTCTACTATGGAAAAATTAACACGTATACCATTTCTCTACCCCAGTATCATGGACGATTGACAGAGGAATCAAAGATGTGGGTCCAGTGGTTACATGTTGTCATTACTAAATGCTGTTGAGTTGGTTTCAATTCAAAGTGAGCCTGTGTATAAGGCTCCCAAGGAGAGACTGGTGGGCTGAACCACAGATCTTGCAGTTAGCAGTTCAGTGCTCACCCTACAGCATCACATACAACTGTTATTGTTGTTAGGTGACCTAGAGTTGGGTCCGACCCATACCAATTCCATGTACAACAGAACGCCATCCTCACAATTGCTGCCACTCTTGAGCCCATTGATGCTGCCGCTGTGACAAGCCATCTCATTGGGGGTCTCCCACTTTTTTGCTGATCCTCAACTTTACCAAGAATGATGTTGTTCTCCAGGGACAGATCACTTCTGATAACATGACCAAAGTATGAGACAAAGTCTGGTCATCTTGGCTTCTAAGGAGCACTCTGGTATACTTCTTTCAACACAGATTTGTTTGTTCTCCTGGCAGTTCATGGTACCTTTAATACCTTTCTCCAACACTATAACTAAGATACATCAATTCTTTTATGATCTTCGTTATTCATTGCCCAACTTTCACATGAATATGAGGCTATTGAAAATACCATGGCTTGGGTCAGGCACACCTTAATTCTCAAATTGACTTCTTTGCTCTTGAACATTTTAAAGAGGTCTTGTGCAGCAGATTTGCCAAATACAATACGTCATTTAATTTCTTGACTGCTGCTTCCATGATTCAACCAAAATGAATCTAAGCAAAATGAAGCCTTTGACAACTTCAATCTTTTCTCCATTTATCATGATGTTATGTATTGGACCAGTGGTAAGGATTTTTGTTTTCTTTATATCGAGGTGGCTTTTGAAAATGGCATGGAACCAAGGCTTTTTTTTACTTAGACATCATTATGCAAATCTCCCCCATAGGTTTGCATAATAGTACATAATAGTACTGTTATGTAATAGTACATAATAGAAAAAAATTGTGTACAATTGCTAAATATTTCATTTATTTTGGCAGACTTTAGAAACATTTTTGATTCTCATAGACTTATTGTGATTGTCTTTTATTTGATTCTCCTATTTTTATTTAGCATTTTGACATTTTTCTATGTACAATTACGTGACATCAATTAGGTTGATCGTGTGGTGCCACTGTCAGCATCTTTCTTTCCCAGAGTTCTCCTTCACCCCTAGACGTTCAGGGCCCCCAGAGCACTGACTCCCTCCTTCCCACTCCCAGCCACCCTTGCTAACTGCAAATTCACATTGTTCTCTATGCATCTGCCTATTCTATTATTTTTTTTACTCTCATACTTTTAATCTTAGGCTAAAAAACATTCAAAGAAAACTATTCCTCAGTTTGATTTTAAGTATGCTTGTTGTTGTGGCACTGTGGGCTAATGCTTCAGACTGCAAAGTCATTTGAACTTCAAGGTTGGTGGTTCAAGCTCACCAGCTGCTCCTTGGAAACCCTATACAGGGTCACTATGGGTTGGAATCGACTCGATGGCACTTAACAACAACATTGTTAAGTGCTGTTGAACCGGTTTTGACTTATAGCAGCCCTGTATAGGGTTTCCAAGGAGCGGCTGGTGAGCTTGAACTGCCAACCTTGGGGTTCAAGCTGACCTTGCGATACAGCATATTAAAACACAGTGCCACACCAGGAATCCTGTTAAGTACACTATGTACTTAAAATAGGTGCCCTATTAGCATAGTGGTTTACAAGCTGGGCTGCTAACCACAAGGTCAAGAGTTTGAATCTACTAGTAGTTCCATGAGAGAAATAGGAGGTTTTCTGCTCCCATAAAGATCGACAGCCTTGGAAACCCTATACAGGGTCAGTATGAGTCAGAACTGACTCAGTGGCACCCCACCATGGCCACCACTATGTATTTGAAATAAACCAGTAGTTGAATTTAATCATCCATCCTTTGATGTTTAACATCTGGCTGTCTTGTGCAACAAGGTTGAGGATTCAAACCCACCAGTCTCTCTGCAGGAGAGTGATGAGACTGTCATCTTCCTTAAAAAGTTATAGTCTTGGAAGCCCCTTTAAAGCAATTCTACCCTAATGGGTCACTACGGACTCAATGACACTGGGTAAGTCTTGTGTGCATAAAGGAGCTCTGGTAGCATAGTGATTACGAGTTCAGCTGCTAATCTCAAAGTCAGCAGTTCAAAACTACCAGCTGTTCTGCAGAAGAAAGATGAGGCTTTCTGCTCCTGTAAAATTTATAACCTCAGAACCCCTATACGGAGTTTCTATCAGTTAGAATGGACTCCATGGCACATAACCAACCAACCATGATGGTGACGTCACCAACCACTTATCTGTCAGTTTGCTATTCTGTGGTGACGTGTGTGTTGCTGTAATGCTGGAAGCTGTGACACTGTGATTTTAAATACCAGCAGGGTGATCCATGATGGACAGGTTTCAGTGGAGTTTCTAGGAAGAAGGAGAGACAGAATATTTCTGAATGGTTAGCCTCTGAAAGCTTTAAGAATAGCAGTGGATCTCTGTGTGATATAGTCCCCAAAGATGAGTTCCTCAGGTAGGAAGGCCTTCAAAATACAACTGGAGAAGGCCTCCTCAAAGTAGAATTGACTTTAAAGATATGAATGGACCAAAGCTTTTAGGATCTTCATTTGCTGATGTGACACAACTCAAAATGGGAAGAAACACTTGCAAACATTATTAATAATCAGAAAATAGAAAGTATAAAGTGTGAATCAAGAAAAACTGAAAGTCAACAAAAAATGAAATGGAATGCATAAAGATTGATATCCTAGGCATTAGTGAACTGGAATACTGGTATTGGTTATCCTGAAACTAACAATCATATGGCTTACTATGAATGACAAATTGAAGAGGAAGGGCTTTGCATTCACAGTTATAAAGAACATTTTAATATGCCTTTCAACAACATAAAAGGTTGAGGACTAATGTACGCCTGACCCAAACCATGGTATTTTCAATAACCGCATATACCTGCCTAAGCTGGACAGTGAATAAGGAAGACCATAGAAGAATTGATGTCTTTGCGTTATGGTGTTGGAGGAGAATATTGAAAGTGCCATGGACTGCCAAAAGAACCAACAGATCTGTTTTGGAAGAAGTGCAGTCAGAGTGCTCCTTAGAGGCCAAGATGGCCAAACTTTGTTTCTCATACTTCATACATATTGTCAGGAAGGACCAGTCACTGGAGAAGGATATAATGTCTAGTAAGGTGGAGGGTCAGAGAAAAAGAGGAAGATACCCAATGAGATGGATTGGCCACATGGCAGCATTGATGGACTCAAGCTTGGCAACAGTAGTGAAGTTGGACCAGTATTGGGCAGTGTTTCATTCTGCTGTGCATAAGGTCACTATGGGTCAGTACCGACTCGATGGCACTTAACAACAACAACAACTAACCTCAAGGTCACTGGTTCAAACCCACTGATCACTCCTAGGAAACAGATTGCTATGACTGAGAACGAACTCAATGGCTCTTAATAACAACAAAAACATTAGAAAATATTGAATGATGTAGGAAGCACCAAAAGATGACAGAAGGAATACACAGAGCCACTGTACCAAAAAAAAAAAAAAAAAAATTGATTGATGTTCAATTATTTCAAGAGATACAATATGGTCAAGAACCAAATGGTATTGAACAAAGAAGTCCAAGTAACACTGAGTGTATTGGTGAAAAAAAGAAGGCTTCAGGAATTGATAGAATAAAAATTGAAAAGTTTCAAAAAACTGATGCAGCATTGGAAGCACTCAAGAAATTTGGAAAAACTATCTGGTCAACTGACTGGCAGTGATCAATATTTGTGTCAATTCCAAAGAAAGGTGACCCAACAGAATGTGGATATCATGGAACAGTATCATTTAATACTATATACACATACAATTTTGTTGATGGTAACTCAAAACCTTTTGTAGCAGTACATTGGCAGGGAGCTGCCAGAAATTCAAGCTGGATACAGAAGAGGACATGGGCCTAGGGGTATCACTGCCAATGTAAGATGGATCTTGTCTGAAAGCAAAGAATACCCAAAAGGGGGTGGTTGTTGTTGAAAGGTGCTACTGAGTAAGTACCGATTCATAGAGACCCTATGCACAACAGAATGAAACACTACCCTGTCCTGATGCAACATCACAATTGTTGCTATACCTGAACCCATTTCTGCTGCCGCT